TACAACACTGGGGGCCGAGCAATGAGTAGGCCTATATCTATGGCCTGCACTCTTCAAGTTTCTTATAACAAACATCTATACAACACTGGGGGCCGAGCAATGAGTAGGCCTATATCTGTGGCCTGCACTGTTCAAGTTTCTTATAACAAACATCTATCTATACAACACTGGGGGCCGAGCAATGAGTAGGCCTATATCTGTGGCCTGCACTCTTCAAGGTTCTTATAACAAACATCTATACAACACTGGGGGCCGAGCAATGAGTAGGCCTATATCTGTGTTTTGCACTGTACAAGCGTGTGTCTACAGACTGTCAGTTTTAGCCTGGGATCCCACAGGCTGTGGCACCAAGCTGCTGACCACTAGACCAATGAACCATGACGGGCTCCCATGAGACCAGATGATGTAAACAATGTCATAAACCACAAGGGAAAAACTGATAATCATCGCTCCAGCGGAAATTATTTTCACTCTAGCGGTCAGCCTGAAACATTTCTCCAATCAAGCAGACGAAACTGGACATTGACTCAGTCGCAGAGCATTTCTTGTTTAATCGGAGATCTTGCTAGCATTTGTCTTTATTTCGTTTGCTAATTACATGAGCTTGTTTACTGTTTCAGTTATCTCGATTCACTTTTAAGTTAAGAAAATAGAACTTGTTTTATATAGAGATAGAAAACAATCGTTCATGATTACATTTAATTAAACTATCATCTTATCTTGAAAACAAGACGTGGGATATTAGAACTCGCGAGATAAAATTGGACCACGAGGACGGAGTGGGCGTATAAAAACGTCTCAAGTTTTATCAAGCGTGTAATCACTAACTTATTTATATATGTGTTTTCATCACTTGACGTAACTCATGGCGTATAATATGTACCCATTATTTTAAGATGATAATTATTTTTACATTAAAGAATTTACAGATGACTAGGTCTATTCTTAATGTTTTAAACCAGGGGTCTCCAAACTACGGCCCGCGGGCCGGATGCGGCCCGCGAGGTCATTTCATCCGGCCCGCGACGATCTTTTTGTCCACTGAATAAATGTTTGTTAGAGGTGACGGAGGAACTTTGCACAGAAAATTCAAAACAATTTGAAAATGTAGCTTAGTGTGCAAATACCATTGCCGCAGTGTTGCAGACATTGGTGAAAACATCGTGACTCAAATAGCGAAAAATGCAAGCAAGCTTCGCCATTTTTCATTTGCAATGGATGTAGGGTTGCCAGGTGTCCAGTTTTGAACTGGACAGTCCAGTATTTGAGCAGACTGTCCAGGATAAAATAAATATAAATACTGGACAAGTATATGAATGATAATCTGTTACCCCCCCCCCCCCCCTTCTTCTGCTTTGCGGCATACCTGAGAAGGGAAGGATGGAAAGGTGTCCAGTATTTTCGGAAAAGGTATCTGGCAACCCTAAATTGATGAGTCGCTTGACCGTTGTTCCACCTCAACTTCTTGTGTTCATTAGAGGTGTGGATGAAGACATGAACATAATACAAGAGCTGGCTTCCCTACATAGAATGTATGACACTGTTACCGGAGAGAATATCTTACCATAGATAGTTCAGAGACAAACACAAAATCGCAAGATTGATCATATTTCACATCAGTAAGATGGCTCATTTTGCGAGAACGTTCTGAGCAGAATATTTAAATTAAGAAAAAAATAGGTGACTTCCTGGAAGTAAAGGCAAGCCACAGCCGCTATTGTCTGATGAAGAGTGAACAACTTGACACACTTTCAGCAGTGCAAGGTCTTTACGGCTGAAGCAACTACTGAGTTCGCCACGTCATTTGCATGCGAGATCATCAAAGACCTCCAACTGCTGTTTCAGTAGCGGTTCTCTTACTTGTTTTCAAAGGCAGAAGAAGTGTGACTGTTTCAAAACCCATTTGAAACAAATGTGGCCAGTTGCAAAGATGAACTGCATCGGGCGGTCATTGAATTGCAAGAAAATGACTTCCTTAGAGACACGTTCAAAGAAGAGCGGATGGGTTTTCATAAGTTTTTGCACAAGGAAGACTTTCCTAATATTAAAACTTCTGCATCAAAGTACTTTTTAAATTTTGGAACAACATACATGTGTGAACAAACATTTTCAAGAATGAAATACGTTAAGAATAATTTGAGAGCAGAGCAAACTTGACATCGAGTGTGTTGTCGACCCACGAAAGTGTTTCTTCCAGACTTTTTACTACGGGGGGGGGGGGGGGGGGGGAAGAGATGGGGGTGTACACTTAAAACATATATATTTCTATATAAATTATATTTTGTTGGAGGGGGGGCGGCACCACCCCGAAGAGATGCCTTAAAGAAACTCTGGCCCCCGAACTGATATTTGATAGTTAATGTGGCCCTCGGGCTGAAAAGTTTGGAGACCCCTGTTTTAAACAATACCATTTTGGACTTATAATTTATATTTGTATTTATAATTATCCTTCTTTGATCAATTAATTTTCTGCATTTAAACACTTTTTTATGACAGAAGGCCTGTACAACATGACACCACTTGTAAATCTCCATTGTTCTATAAATAATCACACGTCTATCTGCCTGCTCTTGATATCCCCATAAGTGTACAGATGGATGTGTGGAACACTTATTTCCGTAGCACTGTTTTCATCTAGATTACTTTATCAATAATTCTATTGAATTGAAAGTTTTTTGTTTTTTACTTTCAAAACTAAGCTAGAGCAAATTACCTCTAGTGCATATTTTAAAATGTTTCAGTTTCAATGTTCGGTTCAGATAGTTCGCAAGATGCTTAGAAAAAATGCTTTTAAAACTAGTACTGTCTAAACAAAAGGGAATAGCTGAACAAAAGATGAGCATCAAATATTTAAGCCCTATTTCTGTCTCAGGGTACTCAACTCGAGCTAAAGTACACGACTACGTACACTCTCAGACACATTTCTACCACTCAGGTCCCTGCTGGGATTGCTCTCAATAGCATGTTAGAAAACATTTTAAATGGCTAAAACAAAACTAAAACTTATAAACAATTAAAATGTGTTTAAAAAATTGTATATTCCATTATTTACATGCTAAAAGGTTGTGCTAGCCAGTAATTTGATTTACTGAAATTCTGTGAAAATGCAGTACTAAGTGTTGAGAGTTGCACTAGGCTAATATGAAGCGTAGACCTAGCCAAAAGAATTGTAATGTGGCCGAATTAATAAATGGATATGATGATAAATTTCAATGAAAACTTAATAGCGAATGATGATCATTCCAAGGCCTTACCGTAATTGGGCAGTTGTGGAAGTACAGCACTACGTACCCCGCAATGAGGCGGGAAGTAATCGTTTTGGGGACACGAAATAACCGACCTCCAGATTGATTAGAGTTAAACTTCCAAATGTTATTTTCGTTCATGTTTGCCTTGATTTAAAAATGTACTAGCAATACAGTATGGAGGGACTGCACAGAATGAACCGTTAAACCTCGAACTCATACAAATTACTGACTTCCGTCGTAGTCTATTATTTTATTGTGTGTCCATAATTATATCTGAAGCTCAAACTGCTTGTAAGTGGCCCAGTAATGTCTAAATATAGCTCAATAAACATTGAAATGTCTACACTAGAACACAGCAGTTAAAAACAATTTCTTCTACCCGTCTGTGATAGACCCGTCCTTGTACCCACTAAACCTCCATAGGGGGATGGCTCACCTTGATACTGCTGGTCGCCATTCGTCTCCGGGTAAACGGTCGAACTTCCCTTCTAAACAAAGATCATATATATATATATATATATATATATATATATATATATATATATATATATATATATATATATATATATATATATATATATATATATATATATATATATATATAATATGTGTGTGTGTGTGTTTTGAAGTTATTAGTAAGAATACCGTACGTGGCTTGTGCATTGTTTTTACTTTCTCGTATAGAGAAAGTATTGTAATCGTGCACAAAAATCACTTGAAATTTTAACAATTTTCACCGTATTACACCTCAGTCCTTCATCACATCCGAAATTTAGAGGACTTATTTTAATCGGGCAAAAATTATGAATCCAGATTTATCAAAACTAAGAGGTTTTATGCGTAATCCAGTCTGAAAAACTGGGCTTTGCAATTCTGTCCGTATGTCTGTGTGTCTGTCTGTGTATGTGTGTGTCCGTGTGTAAACACGATAACTTGAGTACCGTTACAGCTAGGTTGATGAAATTTCATATATAAGTATTTTATCAAAATCGTAGATCCGTATCAACTTTTGAGCGATTTCCGATAACCGGAAATGGTACTTTTTCTACTTTGAATTTTTCAAAAGCCTATAACTTGAGTACTATTTCAGATAGATAAATGAAATTTCACATGTAAGTATAAGATCTAATTCTCTACCTTCTGTTAAATTTTGAGTAACTTCCGTTGACCGGAAGTAGTAATTTACGCCACTTCCGATTTCTCAAAAAACTAATGTAAATTTTTAAAGTACTAATAATATTGCGCACTATTATGTACTTTTTTTATTTGGCGTTCACTTGGTGTGCAATTCTTTTGTCTACGAGATTTTATTCTATTTTTAAAACTTTAAGTATTTAAAATGGATTAAAAATCATGTCTATAGCCCGTGTTCCCATTCCCTGTTGTTTTATATAAGAATATTCGAGAAAGTTTAGGGGAGATCACTCCCGGTTTATTAAGTTAGAATTTAAAAATAGTATTCACCGTTAACCAAATTAAATTACTCAGCCTATTTTTACTAAACGATTAATCATTGACCTATTACCCACATCAGTTTTATAATAGTTTCTTAACTGATTATTTCCCGGCTTTTATTATAGAATAACACATTTTTACCTGCAGTCAGTTACAGTTCACGCGAACTTCTTGTTTAAACCCAGGTGACAGCGCAGTTCACGTGTAGCAGTAATGGAGTTACACACGTCTGTGTGGAGTAGGAAAACACCTGGAGAGGCCCAAGCAGGTCATGCAACAGGTAAAAGGTGTGTGTCAACTTTTTCTGTCTCACCGTCTCAGTTCTTACCTAGGTGGGATACGCTCCACAGTGTCGTTCTTTGGACTAACGCTCGATAGTGCTGAAATATCCAAGTTTTCTTCTTGGACTTCTGGTGACTTGAACATCCAAGCCTAGCTGGTAGGTGGACGCTCTTGTTTTTACAGCTTAATGGGATAACTGCGTCATTGTCTCACACGTTCCGTGATTCGGTGAATTTCTTTGCCTCAGGTTAGTCAGTCATTCCTAGTGGATGTGGAAGCATTCATCCAATTGGATACAAGTCAAATAGATTCATTCCTTTTTGTTCGGTTGACCAACGTCCGCTCCAAGGCGTTAGTTAACTTCCGTCCAGTCAAAGATACTTGACCAGCGCACACCGGAAAACGTTATCCGATTTAAGACGAATGTATTCGAAACCAAAACGACTTGTGACTGCTTGACTGATTTCAATATATGGCTGTGATTGTTCAAGTGAAAAATGTGTGACTGAGTCACTGGGTCACCTCATTTTTAAGTCACTGTTTGACTGGGTCACTACATGAATAAGTCACTGTTTGACTGGGTCACTACATGAATAAGTCACTGTTTGAGTGGGTCACTATATGACTGAGTCACTGTTTGACTGGGTCACTATATGACTGAGTCACTGTTTGACTGGGTCACTATATGACTGAGTCACTGTTTGACTGGGTCACTATATGACTGAGTCACTGTTTGACTGGGTCACTACATGAATAAGTCACTGTTTGACTGGGTCACTACATGAATAAGTCACTGTTTGAGTGGGTCACTATATGACTGAGTCACTGTTTGACTGGGTCACTATATGACTGAGTCACTGTTTGACTGGATCACTATATGACTGAGTCACTGTTTGACTGGGTCACTATATGACTGAGTCACTTCATTTTTAAGTAACTGTTTCACGGGTCACTATATGACTAAGTCACTGTTTGACTGGGTCACTACATGACTAAGTCACTGTTTGACTGGGTCACTACATGACTAAGTCACTGTTTGAGTGGGTCACTATATGACTGAGTCACTGTTTCACGGGTCACTGTTTAACAGTGTGACCGAGTCAGTTTGACTGCATGACTGCGACTTTGTGGCTGTTGACTTGTGGCAATGACTAGGATAATTCTGGGCGTGTCAAGATGTGTTGCCATCAATCATAAAGCGGTTCCCAGTGTGTTGTGTGTCGCAATGTTTGGGGTCCCAAAGTATTTGTTGACTGATTAATTCTAGTCGAACCAAGGGGACTTGTTGCTGCGGAGATTAAAAGTTCATATTTCATGGAAAAGCTCGCGCAAACAAAACAGGTTTTTCATTTACCCGAACGAATTAAAGAAACTTTATTGTGAGGTTAAATTACAAACCAAACCCCACTCTAATTATATTCTCTATGTTACACTTTGTCCTAATACACCACCTTAAGTGTTTCTCTTATCATTATTATACATCCATTTCTAAAATTCATTTTAATAGTGTTAGCGATTTGGAAATAAATTATCTCTCCTTTTTAAATAAAGGTATGCTACGTGTGAAACGTGTGCAGCCTATTTAGCAGCTTTTCTCAAAGTACAATGTTAGATTGGTATTGTTCTTATATTAGGCACATAACCTGTTGACTCTAGTTCGCTGTTTGTTTTTTTATCTAATTTTAACTGTTTCTTGCCTGGCTTTAAATTTATAATTTATAGTTTTCCACACCATAATACCTTTGTAGTGTTGAAACAAGGTATTTACAATCTGTTTTTTTCTCTTTGATTCTGACGAGTTAACTTGATATCTAGTCATTAGGCCAATTCTTCCAGAGGATAGCCAAATTCTGTAGGCGTTCACATAATGCAGGTAGAATAAGAAGACAAATATAACGTCAGCTTCCATGAAAGACTGGCTCTTCATTACGGTGGGACCCTCAGCCAATAAACTCGTGCTAGCTTAAAATAGACGCCGCGTGTCTTACATGGACAAAGCCATACAAATCGGCCGATAATTATTTTTTACAAATGTTCACGGACGTAATATCAAGTTTGTGTGTGTATTTGCACATTTCATTTTTACTTTTAGTTTACATATTGCGGCCTTTATATTTTGCCACTAAAATGTTGAATCATATTTAATAAAATCCGTGGAAACGTCAGGCACGTGAATATAAATAGGGAGATGTGGTGGAGTAGCTAGCCTAGTTCAGTTGTACTAGGGCTTGAGCTAGGCATTGAGCTAGGGTTCCACTGGTATACGGTAACGTCGTTAGCATTGCCAACGAATTCACTAGGCTGACATGTACATTTTATTTAAATAAGTTTTCAGATTTCAAGTTTTTATTTTTGTGAGCAAATTTTGAAACCACTAGACCTGTATGTTGAGCATGCACCATGTCAATCGACTGGCATGTATCTGTTTAACCTGGGTTTTTACACACAGGTGCAGATGTAGTCACATAATGTGCAGATGTAGCCACATACAAATATGTATATAAACACACATGTGTAGAAGTAGCGACATTGGGTGTAGATGTAGCGACATTTGGGTGCATATGTAGCGAAATTTGTCGCATCATTAAATACTTGACAGAGACAATGTCACACTATTGAATACTTGACAGAGACAATGTCACACCATTGAATACTTGACAGAGACAATGTCACACAATTGAATACTTGACAGAGACAATGTCACACCATTGAATACTTGACAGAGACAATGTCAAACCATTGAATACTTGACTAAGACAATGTCACACCATTGAATACTTGACTGAGACAATGTCACACTATTGAATACTTGACAGAGACAATGTCACACCATTGAATACTTGACAGAGACAATGTCACACCATTGAATACTTGACAGAGACAATGTCACACCATTAAATACTTGACTGAGACAATGTCACATCACACCATTAAATACTTGACTGAGACAATGTCACACCATTGAATACTTGACTGAGACAATGTCACACTATTGAATACTTGACTGAGACAATGTCACATCACACCATTAATTACTTGACTGAGACAATGTCACATCATTGAATACTTGACTGAGACAATGTCACACTATTGAATACTTGACTGAGACAATGTCACATCACACCATTAAATACTTGACTTTGACCATGTCACATCACACCATTAAATACTTGACTGAGACAATGTCACATCACACCATTGAATACTTGACTGAGACAATGTCACACCATTAAATACTTGACTGAGACAATGTCACATCACACCATTAAATACTTGACTGAGACAATGTCACATCACACCATTAAATACTTGACTTAGACAATGTCACATCACACCATTAAATACTTGACTGAGACAATGTCACACCATTAAATACTTGACTGAGACAATGTCACACCATTGAATACTTGACAGAAACAATGTCACACTATTAAATAATGAGCCTGGCCAGTTTCAACTACTCTATACTTTCCGTTGCACCAGTTAGAAGATCTCGCGATTAAAATTACGTTCCTCTGTCGTTATCTTGTGTGAGTCACAAGTCCTTCGGCACACGACAGTCCCCTCCCTCCCAATGCGATCCCCTAAACATTTGACATCTGTATTTAGCTGGACAAATCCACTCGAAGCTCTGAGCTAACTCATCCCCGGGCAAACACGGGAGCAGACGTGATCTGTATTTAACCTGTACAATTGTGTGCCGGGACAGACGCTGGCATGGCAGGAAAAATGTTTCATCGCAGTGGGCATGTGTGCGCGCGTGGTTCAGACTTGTGTCTTACCCATTTAAACACATTACTTGACGATCAATGTCCATATTCTTTCTATAAAACCACACATTCGTGTAAAAAAAAAAACAACAACAAGTTAATAAATAAAGAATGTATGCGATTGCCAAAGCCTTCCAGCTAGTGTATTTTTGTTTAAACAACACAATATTGCCCAGGAATGCTGACATGATGCGACATTAGATGTCTATATAATAGATAACATCTGATCGTTGATGACTGTTTGTCCACGCTCAACAATAAAACACATCACATTTAGATTTAAATGGAGTCAGCTAGGGTTGGCACAGTTGATCCAACATTTGGTACGTGTTATAACCAAAATCGACATTCTGCCATTTGCCAGAAAATGTGCTACAGTTATCAACAATTGTACTAGAGGCCTAAATATCATAAACAATACTCACTTTTTAAGAAAGAGGAAAGAAAAAAAAGTTTAAGAAGGAAAAGATATTGGTTAGTTTTGACAAAAAATATTTTTCATCGATCTTTATTTTCTTGAAAGTCCAATAATGGCAAAATAATTATATATTGTTTTATCGACCTTTCATTTTGAAATAAGCCCCATAAATTATAAATACTTACACTTACACAGAAAAAATAATTATATATTGTTTTATCGACCTTTCATTTGGAAATAAGCCCCATAAATTATAAATACTTACACTTACACAGAAAAAATAATTATATATTGTTTTATCGACCTTTCATTTTAAAGTAAGCCCCATAAAAGCCTAAACTTTAAAAAAAGTGTTTTGATTTATATATGTTTTTAAAATATAATTTCTATCTAGATTTTAAGTGTTGAAAAATTGCTAAAAGCACAAACATTAAACTGGAACAAAAACAACACGGGGCAGTTACGTGATGAAATTTGTTTTATTTTTTCTTATTTGGTTTTGCTGGAAGTTAATTAGTTTGTGGGAATTCCCGTTGTTCGAATGTTTCCCCATCCCCCTGGCTATTTCTGATACACCTCCAGTTATTCTCTTCTAGATTTGGATCTTTTAATTTGTACATAGTAAACAAAAACCAGTCTTAGAATATTGAGTTTTGAAGGGACACATGGAAAAAGAAGAATTAACAACTCGCTCTTCAATAAAAAAAATAATAACTTAAAATTACATTATAGAAAGTGATTGATAAATACCATGTTAAAAATCCACATGTAATCTAATTAATAAATTATACAAGGAGGATTACAAAACATTTCAAACCCCGTATCACGTGTGTGGACATAGGCCAATGTGTAGCAGTAACACGTGACTGTTGAAATAACTGGAGGAGTAGTTCACATTGGGTGTGTGGGGACTGCCCCATGTGACTGGAGTGTGTGGGGACTGCCCCATGTGACTGTTTAGTGTGTGGG